GTGGAGGAAGTACGATGTTTGTGTTCCTCATCTTACAATTTCTTGTACATTGCCACCTAATATGCATGTAAGAACAATACGCAAAATCAAAGAGACAATCACAGTGCTTGGAAACAGTATTCCAGTTTCACATAATCGAATGGAAGACTCACAGTATGCAATTCATGATGTTTTTTTTTTTTTTTTTGGAAACAGAATAAGGTCATAAAAAAAAAGTTTAAGTATTTCTGTTAGAGTTCATACAGGTAAAGGAAAGTAAGGTGAGTTAAGGTAAGCATTCCTATAATGTTCAATGCATGCATCCTTTGTCTTGGTCCCGACATGCTCGGCAACTTCGGCCCAATTTCCCATGCCATACATTTCAATTCCCTGCTCATGTGGTAAACAAATTTACAATTTAAAACATATGAAAAGGGGATTATTACCAAAGCCTCAGTTGAGGTTGAAAAAAACAAAAAAAAAAACTTAAAATTTTGAAAAATATCCCACATTTTCATTTTAAATTCCCCTAACAGTCTGTTAAAAATATTATAACTAGCCCTTTAATTTAAACGCTGAATCAAAAATCAAGCGTACATTTATTTATATTCTTTTGGATGTTAACTAGGTTTTTGTTTTGCAATTAGAGCAAACCTCAATGGAACTTTTTTTTTTAAAAAAAAAAATCTATAAAATATAAATATGGATTACCTCGAGAAGTAACATTTCTTCATCAGCATTCCATTCAGGACAAATGAGAGGAAATGAGAGAATGTCCTGAATATATCATAAACATGATTCAGACCACCAGCATCCAGAGAAAATTAAACCCCTTTACTATTTTAAGGAAAAAAATAACAATTTTTTGCCAGAAAAGAATCAGGAGGATGCAAGAAAAATGCAACAGATTTGACCAGTACTCATTGATACTACATCACTACAATTTTTACAACAGAAATCCCAAACAGCTGGCCAGTGAAACTCCTATATGCCCACTTTTAAGAAAAAAAAAAAAAAAAAGAAACCGAAAGAAGGTGAAGCATATAATCAATAAATATATCTGAGAGAATAGTGGCTAAATTTAGATAGACAGCTCCGGATAAATTACTCACCATAACCCGATATGGATGACCATATCTGTGAGGATGAACCTCACCACCTACTGAAAAACACTCCACACACAAGTCAAAGTCCGAACATACAGCACATTTTATATGAATCCTCCCAGTAATGTCCTTGTTGCAATAGTTACAATGGTATAATGCACCTTTTCCATCACCAGTCCCTTGACCTGAAACAACCAAAAATTAAAGGTACCAAACAGAGTAAGACAAAGCGCGACTACTAATAAGCCAAAAATTATAAAAATGGCATAAAACATCAAGACAATGTTCGACTCAAGCCAGATAATTACCGTATTCATCTAATTTTAACACAAATTATATGCTGAAAAGTTAATTTTATGATAGCCACTAATGGTAATGCAACTTTAACAGAAGACAGTTTAGACAGATTACCTGCCGTAACAGATTCTAAATTTTCTCCACTTGATGCATTCTTTTTTCTTCTTGATCTGAAAAAAGGCATTATATTCCAAAGAAATTACAGAAGTAACACAAGAAACAAGTTCTGACTAATTGCACTGAGGGAAAAAGAAATTTGCACAATATAGATATGATTTACCCACATCAACCAGTGCCGCAAAGCAAGAATCAAAAGAAATTAATCGCATGATAGAATAAGAAGCAGAACTGCACATCATGCTAAAGATAAATCAATCTTGATGGTGCAAAATCTTGGAATCCGAAGTTCACACACCGTGCACATACAGAGAGAGAAAACCCTTAAAAATGAAAATGCAAACAGAAACCACACTCTGAAAATTAAACCAATAACAAAAATCCTACGCACACTCACGTTACCAATCATGATCCATGACAAGATCATGCTCGCACAACAGTAACACAGATAAATATATTCGGAAAAGTAAGTGGAAAAAAAAAAAGAAGCAATTTTATCCCACAACCCAAATTGCTTAATTTACCCTTTCCCCAGACATGTACTTTTGATCTCTTAGCAGTCACTGTAACTGTTAACCAGCCACTGGCTTCAGCTAGCTAACTAAACTGAATATACAACAATAATAACAAAAAACCCATCAGAAAACAAGAAAGAAACAAGATTCTACAGTCTAATCAAGAAAAAATTGAGCCATTACTGATTGACCATTTGAAAATGCAGCTAGCATAAAACAACAAACACAATGTGCAACTTAATCTCGAGCTAAATGCAGGACGAACACGAAAAACGGCGCTCCAAAAAGGCAAAAAGACAGAAGAAAACACAAACCTCTGGCTAGGATCTTCTTCGGCATGAAAATTTCCACGGGAGCGACCCATTGATCTACTTTACAGAGGATTTTCCTGTTAAAAATTACACAAATTTACACAATAGCTTCATCTCCTCAACTATTTACGATCCTCCGTGGTTCCAACAATGAAGAATTTGAGAAATTCGAGTGTCAGTTGTCTTGTGCGCAGAAATGTGTGCTCTTAAGAACCCTAATTGGGACAAAAAAGAGGGCAATCGGAAAGCGAATTTTTGGACTTTCTAATTACGGTATATCTTTTCTTCACTGATATTTTAGAAATGTAAAAAAACCATTCTGTCGATATTGTAATCGTTAGATCATCATATAACTGTCGGGAAAGTTGATCTAGCAGTTACAAATCACGTAATAATTCCGTAAATCTTCAGTTACGAACAAACTAAAAAGACATGAACTATTAACGGGACTAAGTCCATCCTTCGTCATCTAACTCATCGTCACTACCATCTAGAGCTATTAAATTTAAAAGTCGTTCTGAGCTCGACTTGGCTCGACTCATTTAGGCTTGAGCTCGGCTCGAGCTTGTTCGATAAATGAACCGAGCTCGATCTCATTTAAAGCTCGTTCAGTTAACGAGCCGAGCTCGGCTCGACTCGATAAGGCTTGTTTTGA